CGATATAGAACTACAAATCCGCCGGTATATGGACTAAGTTCATTCATGTTCCGGATTCCACTGATTGCCGGAGTATTGTTACGGACTGATTACAAGGACTATTTATACAGCACACACACACATATAAGTGCTGAGTCTTGTTTATCTGAATTATGAATATTACAATGCGTTTTCCTTGCCTTGTCTTGACCTTCTGCCTGTTTACTGACCATGACTCTGGATTGACCATATACATCTGTTTGTTCCTGTATTGACTATTGCTTGCCTGACCATTCTGTTGAATTAAATACTGAATTTGGATCTGCATTCTATTGTCCAGCGTACCATCACATTACAGATATCCTACCATCAGAATCTTTTACCTGCTAGTCGTTATTTTTGTTTTACTGTATTACAACAGTATCATCGTATAGCTTGATCATATTCTGACTGCTCTGAAGGCCAGTGGTCTGTTTTGAGGTATTTTAGCTGGCCAGGAGCTCTCAAGTTTCACCTAAAATATCTTAATCTTTGTTTTGTAGACAAACAAAGGTCTCAGGAGTTTTAAATGACATTAGGGAGAATAGTTATTGACAGTTTTTTGGGTTAAAAACCTGTTTAATAGCATTTCACTTAAACCAATCTAGGCTTGTAAATATTTAGAAATTGGGATCTTATTCTCACAGGCTGGCGTTTTGCATACTGGAAGAAGCTCCTTAACCAAGTTAACAGGACACTTCACCAAAAAAAAAAAAAAAAAAAAAAAAAGGAAAAAATGAAATTCCATGCCAGCAGACTGACTGTAACCTTTTCATACCAAAATAAATCAGCCCAGGCTGGAATGAAAATGCATGCTGGTTCTGTCAGCAGGCCTCAATTTTTTAAATTTTGAGCATTTCTCCGAATTCCGTGACATTGTGGCAACCTCAATTTTTCTGCACAGGATGAAATTTCTCATCCGGTGAAAGCAGGCACATTTTGCCCACATGCCTTCCAGTTGAACCTGTATTAATTTGTCTTCAGTGCCGGAGCTTCCCGTGGCCCCTCGGGGCACCTGATGGATGGATGGATGGATGGCTGTACAGGGTTTGCTGGGACTTTCTAAAAAGACATAGAGACATAGAGAGAGAGAGAGAGAGAGAGAGAGAGATGATGTGTCTGTACCTCATTCCTGTCTCCCGCAGCTGCTCATAACAGGTGCATTACTGCTTCTTGCCAGATGGTCAGCAAAATGTGGTAGTTGGCAGGTTCCTTCACAGTATCGGCCCTCCCTCTCACATGAGGAGATGGAGAGAAAGAGGTTAGACAATGAGGAAGGTTGAAGATGGGAAAGGTTGTAAAGTGAAACTCATTTTACTTGCTTTCAAACTGTGTGCAGAAATGGCACCTTTTCAGAGTGAAATTCTGAGTTGAAGTGTGTCAGGTGTCAAACAAGTGGAGAAATGTTATTGAAGACCGTTTTTAAATATACAAATATGAGAAAGGAGGAGGAAGCGAATAGCCAACAGAAGCTGTGTTACAGCCTCTTTTTTAACAGGGTTAAGAGCTTTTATTAAGCACAACATGAAGAAAGGCACCTTTCTGGTTAGAGATTTGATGACTAAATGATCATTAAATGTTTGATTAAAGATGAATTTATGTTATTTATGTTATTTTATTCCATTTTGTTTTTAGTAAATGAGGAAAGGAAACCAAGTTTTAAAATTAAATGGTTTGAGTACTGTAGAATGTATATTGAGTCTAAATATACATACTTTTTGTCACAAACACCAGCGATCTAACCTTCATAGATTGCTGGAGAACATTCACATTTACACAAACTACAATCCCATCTCAATATGAAGCTGAAGTCCTGTCATGCAACACACACACACCTGCTCCAAGTCTCCATTGATTATGCTCCCACAGCCAGAGATGGAAAGTAACGAAGTATAAATACTTCATTACTGTACTTAAGTGTATTTTTCTGGTATCAGTACTTTACTCCACTACTTATTTTTCCTGACAACGTTTTACTTTTACTCCTTACAATTTTTTTTCACAAATATCTGTACTTTCTACTTCTTACATTTTTTAAATTGGACTTTTTACATTTGTTTTAATGCATTTTGTGGCACAATCTTTATAATTCCTTATTATTGCACAATTTAAGTACCTTTTTGATTCAATCAATATATTTTTTTGTTGTGGCTTTTCGTCATGTTTATGCCGGGTATTAAGATGCATTTTGGTCGATCGGATCACAGGTAAACAAGAAAAACATTCCTGTTCAAATCTGGCAAATGGGGTTGAATTATTTTGTCCACTTCCGAAACTGTACTGTACTTCTCTGGGGTTTTTTAATCTAATATCGAAAAACAAAAAAAACAAAAAATATGTAACTATCATGTGCTTTTTATCGTTTTTTTATCTTGTCAGCGTTTGTATAGTTAGTACTAAAGCAATGAAATACCGATTATGTTATAAAGTGAGATTTATTTACTTTGTTTACAATGAGTGCATATTTCCTAGTACAGAATTTATACTGTTTTATAGTTTTAACATATAGTCTACACTGTTATTTTCATGAAAATTTGTTTGATAGATTAGAACAATACTATGTAATTTATGAAAAAATATATAATGCAAAGGATCTGAAATTTATGACATGAAAAAAGATTTAGCAAATATATATTAACAGCGTTAAAGTTACACACTGAAAATATTATTCATTGGATTTACTTTTTTTAAGGTAAATGGTTGCAAACAATTTATCGGGCTAAATTTAAACAAACAAATTAAATTGAACATTACTAAATTTAGTTTGTTTAAACTTGCGTAAATCTAATGAATATTTTTTTCCAATGTACAGTAAGTAAAATAAGCTAAATAAAATGAAAAAATGAAATTAAATGAAATTAAACAAAATGAAAAATAAATATATTGTATTAATATGTTAATATATCATATTTTTCTGCAGTGACTCTAAAAAGACTAAAAAGGTAGACTGCAAAAGGTAATCAGTTTCAGTGATCTCTTAGATTCACAAAAGCCACAGTCTCCACTGCTGCCCGTCATCGACCCCAAACAATCAAAAATGACTGAGAGAGAAAGACAAACATGGCAGATCAATACAGACTCCTGCACGCACGCAGCGGCCGTGTGGATGCTGCAGGGATCATTGAGCCTCAGGCATTAGGAGTGCAGGTCCTCATCCTTCCCATAATCCTCCTAACGGACTGTGCTGAACATCTGGAACGAGCAGTGAACATCTGCCCATTCTGAAACCCCCATTACCGCCTTTCTCTCTGGGTCTCTCAGTGGATTACTGTTTTTTTTAACAGACCTGCCAAGTCTGGAAGAGAACACTGCACTTACAGATATTACTTATTAGTCAGTGCTATGCCAAAATTCATTTTGGCATATTCAGATATATTTGAATTTGAGTTGAATAATTTTTTGTGTTTAATTTACAGTGCATCCGGAAAGTATTCATAGAGCTTCAGTTTTTTTTTTTTTTTTTTTTTTTACAATTTTTTTGTTACAGCCTTTAATCTTAATTAATTCAATCCAAAATGTATTAAATAAATTTATTTTCTTAGAATTTTACACCCAATAACCTATAATGACAATGTGAAAAAATAGTCTTTTAAATTGTTGCAAATTATTAAAAATAGAAAACCTGAAAAATCACATGTACATAAGTGTTCACAGCCTTTGCTCAATACTCTGTTGATGCACCTTTGGCAGCAATTACAGCCTCAAGTCCTTTTTATAATGATGCCACATGCTTGGCACCCCTGTCTTATTGAATTTTTTTCCATTCCTCTTTGTAGAACTTCTCAAGCTCTATCCGGTTGGATGGGAAGCTACAGTGTACAGCCATTTTCAGATCTCTCCATAGATGTTCACTAGGATCTATGTCTGGGCTCTGGCTGGGCCACTCAAGGACATTCACTGAGTTGTTGTGATGATATTGATATTTGATATTTTGGCGGTGTGCTTTGGGTCATTGTCCTGCTGGAAGATGAACCGTCACCCCAGTCTGAGGTCAAGAGCATCCGGAAGCAGGTTTTCATTCAGGATGTCTCTGCACATTGCTGTATTCATCTTTCCCTCTATCTTGACCAGTCTTCCAGTTCCTGCTGCTTAAAAACATCCCCACAGCATGATGCTGCCACTATTATGCATCACTATAGGGATGGTATTTGCCTGATAATAAGTGGTGCCTGGTTTTCTCCAAACGTAATGCCTGGCATTCACTCCAAAGTGTTTAATTTTAGCCTCATCAGACCAGAAAATTTTGTTTCTTATGGTCTGAGAGTCCTTCAGATGCCTTTTGGAAAATTCCAGGCGGGGAGTGGCTTCTGTGTGGCCACTCTGCTATACATGCCTGGTTTGTGGATTGCTGCACAGATGGTTGTCCTTCTGTAAGGTTCACCTCTCCCCTCAGAAGAACGCTGAAGCTCAGACAGAGTGGAGTGACCATCGGGTTATTGATCACCTTCCTGACTAAAGCCCTTCTCTCTTGATCACTCAGCTTAGATGGCCGGCCAGCTCTAGGAAGAGTCCTGTTGGTTGCAAACATCTTCCACTTATAGATGGTGGAGGCCACTGTGCTCATTAGAACTTTCAGAGCAGCAGAAATTTTCAGAGCAGCCTTGTGCCTCGAGACAATCCTGTCTCGGAGGTCCACAGACAATTCATTTGTCTTCATGCTTGGTTTGTGTGTACGACAAGCCCCACCTTCTTCTTGTGGGTGTGTTTAAGAATAATGTGTATCTAAATGCACAACAAAATGCTTCCTAGGCAACGTATTTCAGATAAACAAAAATGTAGACAGTGCACTTTAGTTGTCATCTGAAACGTGCAATGAAACGTACCCAGAGAAACATATTTTACATTTTTGCAAAAATGTAGGCTTATAGGTACATATTTCTATTGTACATGCACTGGTTAAAACATCAGTTATGGTATTATCGCAGATTATTAACATCTTACATCCCTACTGTATATTCATATGAATGGCCTTCTGTTTGCAGGTGCTGACCGAAGAAGGTTTTGGAGCCATTACCACAGAAATAACCATGGCCAAGGAGTTCTACTATGCAGAAGACTATCACCAGCAGTACCTCAGCAAGAACCCTGATGGCTACTGTGGACTAGGCGGCACCGGGGTCTCTTGTCCTATAGGGCTGAAGAGTAAACATTAGCACATTTGTCCTGTGGAAAATTAAAGTTTATTACCTTGCCTTAACTAAAGCAATTACCACTGCAATACCCAGGCCTTTATATTCTTGTTGGATAGAAATAAAAATTGTGTTGCGCTTCTCTTTTGTTTGAGAGTGTAATTTAGTGATCATTGCAAGTGAAATTTTCTGTCTGCAGCATAACTCCTACTCACACTAAATTCTAGGCTTACAGTATGCAAGTTTTGTTTAATAAAATCAGCTCACAATGTAAATACGACAAGATGCTGATGCCAGAAACTTGTAATATTGTCAGCTAAGTTCACAAACGTTTTTGAAGTAACTTATAAGGGTGCCTGATAACATAACTGCCTGCGCCTCAATGTGCACACTGTCCTCCCTAAACTATTGAATTGTGCAAATGTTATATACAGTTTAGATCAGAAAGCTGGATGTGCACTTTGACACGCAGGGATATTAATTGTTCACATGAGTTGTTCATAAGGAAGATTCATTCACCAACGAATCGCTCCCTCCATTAGCATTAGAAGTGAAAGCAGGAGAAGGGGATGTGTTTCAGGACATGGATTATATCAAATTTAACAAGGAGGGTGACAATACATTTCCATGCACACAAACACACTCTTTGTCGAATCTTAGATATTTGTGTAAATGTTTACATATTTATGGCTCCAGATGGCCAGTCCCTGACTACACCTTGGTCCCATATTAGTTTTAAAGGAGTGCTACCCTGTATTAAAATGGCTCTATTGATGCATTCCTTCCAACAGACAATAACAGTGTAGGCGACATCAAATGTAAATATCTTTCACCATTCTTTACACAAATATTCTCTATAATATGTGATATGACTAAACATTAAATAAGATTTTCTCAGTTCAAATGAGTCAAATCTTGCACCCGAACACATTATTTTATACGTCACAACAAGCAAATTGGACTCGATTTAGGTGTTCATATAAACAGTGAGTATGGGAAGTATTCAGACCACCTTAAATTTTTCACTCTTTGCTATATTGCTGCCATTTGCTAGTCATTTAAGTTATTTTTTCCCCTTTAATGCACAAACGGCACCTCATACCTAACCCTCCCGTTTTTCCCAGGATTCTCCTGTATTTTACAGTTCTATCCCGTTACAATTCTGTAAAGACATTTTCCCGTATTTTCAATCTTTCTCTGAAGGGTGGCAATGAACATTAAAGAGCCAAGGCTATACGCAACCCATACCGCCGAACCACCAGGGGCCGCCCATTGCTCTTAAATGTGAGTCTGTTTTGTGCTTTCGCTTTGTTTAGGCATGAAAACACTTTCAAATAAATATAATTCCCCAAGTGTCTTCTCCCCTTCATATTTAATCCTAAAAGCAGTCATATAGTGGTGCATAACTGTCAGCTGACACGCTCCATAGTGATAAATTGACGCTGTATCTGAAGCGGAGCGAAAGTCTGGGTTTTGGGTGCATGTTAAAACAGACATATACATATAATTAATGATAAAAATATCTAAAGATGTTGATCTTGGTGGGTTTTTTTTTTCAAACACAACTATATTTGTCCTATATGAGCATAAAAAATAAAACAAAAATAACAAATGCTTTTATAATGTTAGATGTGCATTTTTAAAGTGATGCGTTATTTAATGTAATCAAACAAAAAATAATCTAAATAAATAAGATATTCATTCGCTGCTCTTTAATTAATGAACATATTTAGTAATTTGGGATTTTAATTTAGGGGGTCGGGGAAGTCCCTTATTTTGGGCATATCCCTATTTTCAAATCCCAGTGTTGGTATGCCTCATATTGACAGAAAAACAGAGGATTGTTGACATTTTTGCAGATTTTTTTAAAATAAGAACTGAAATATCACATGATCCTAAGCATTTAGACCTTTTGCTGTGACGCTCAGGCGCTGTCCATTTCTTCTCATCATCCTTGAGACAGTTCTTCGACTCCATTTGAGTCCAGCTGTGTTTGATAATACTGATTGGACTTGATTAGCAAAGCCACACACCTGTCTATATAAAACCTTACAGCTTACAGTTCATGTCTTGTATATAAGGTTGTACCATAGGCAAATTCGTGTTTATGGCAGGCTGGATTGTGTGTTCACATTTGTGTGCTTGTTCTAGATCCATCTGTCTATTCCAATCGCATACATAGCTATTCATCCTTCCATCTGTCTGCTACCTATGTGTTTCCTTCCATCCCAGCCATGCAAACAAGTGCTCTCATCCCTTTCTAAAAGTGTCAGCGCATATTTCATCTCCTCAATTAAAGACTTGACTGCAATCCCACACAAACAAACACAGCCTCTAGCATTCACACGCAGCAGAATCTGTGGATGTTTTACAAGGAACACTGAAAAACTGGGGCCTTTGACAACCACACAAACAATTGCTCTGGAAACAAAATGGCCGCAGTATTGATCACTCTGAGGAAAGTCTGTAAAAATATGGACAAATATGAGGTAAGATGTATCTTAATTTATAGTTCATGGGTGTTTTACTTTGCTGCAGATCTTTTTGTAGGCTAGATCCTGGAAACATATTAGCATTTTAGTACTTTCAGTTCCATTGTCATAAAGTCAGTGGGTGTTTTGAATTGGTTTTTGGTTAAATGCCTGAATTATGTTCTATGGTTAAAACAAGCTCAAGCTATTTTCACATTTTATTGATATTCCCTTCTATTTTGTCCTGAAAAATGCATATGCTAACAAGTAGACATGGTTTTGTCAATCAGAAATTGATAGGATCAATGTGGTTTTCTATTTGTGGATTTCATGCGAGTGACCGGTTGATCCCGCTCTCAGGGAAGGAAACATAATCACAGAAAGACAATAGATATGTTTATTAATGGTGGAGAACTTGTTTCAACAAGAATCTACAAAATTGTATGGATAAATTGTCTGTAATAAATACTGCAGTATTTTATGTAAAAATAAGTAGCCTACTACAAATTTAGATTTTATGGTGACTTTACAAAACCTCATTGTTTTGAGACTCAGCACAATTAATAGATTTAACTAAAATATAAAAGGATAATTCTGGAAAAAAAATATTAAGAGAAATCCAAACTCTGGAAAATGTGTCATTAAAAATAGAGTGAATATGATATTCTTCCAAAAAGTGAGTCAAAGGCATTTATCCTTCAAAGCAAAAAAATAGGTATTTGGAAAAGCAATTGGTGTTTAGGAGGGTCTCTGGAGGCGCTGTGGGCATGTGTGGTTTTGGCTAATCCTCTGAGCAGGTGGCTACCGCTCCATGCACCTATTCCTGTGCCACACTCGGAGAGGGCCTCTCTGGGCAAGGCTGGCACTGGTGCTCAGGAACCTGGCCTGGCACAGCTTCTATCAGGCTGCTTTCTGCAATGCTGTGAAACAAGGACATTTGGTGACGCACAAACTTTGGCCCTGGAACCTGGGACTGGAATATACACTATTTACTTGGACTAGCCAAGATGACTTGGGTCACAAATGTTTTTACTTTACAAGTTTAAAATGCAATCACTGGGTTATTGCTGAATACAATGCACTGATATAAAACCTCGTATGTAAATAAGATCCTCAATCCTAGTGTCTTATTTTAAAATTGCTCCTTTAACAGTGTATTTCTCACATTGAATAGTTAGCAGATGGTAACACTGCCATCTCATGGTGGATGGTGAAACTAAAGGCCTATTTGCAGAGAGGTCATTTCAACCGACTGCACTACGTATTCTTCTCATTGCCATCCGATTATTTTGATCTTGAGCTAGATAGTGTCAGAAAATTATTGTACTTTTAATATACATAGCCTTTTTTCTTAAATTTACTATATTGGAGGGCAGATTATTAAAATATAGCAATGTCATACTAATATAAAACAGTGACGCGAAGTAGGATTACTTATTTAAGACAATATTAAGACACGAAACGTTCAAATAAAACGTTTTAGTAATTTGCATGTTAGTTGTCAGTGAGTTGTTGACTTGAGAGTCGCTCGGAATGATTCGGTCCTGATTGTGAAAAGATTCGGTTCATTCACAGGCGAATGATATAGCTCGCTATGACGTCGTTCAAGGTTCAGTTCTCTAAAGTTTGGATGTTCAATCTCATTTTGACTCAGAGACAAAAGACGTTGTTTTACAAAGGTATTGTAACATTATTTGTTAGTAATAACGAATGTTTAGTCCACCAAATTTCTACAAATTAAATGGCAAACCACTCTCAAACCGTTCTTGCAAAGACTAACGTAGAAATGTAGTTATAGCAATGCTCCTGACTAACGTTAGCCTTTAGACGAGATGGCCTAACGTTAGTTAGGGCCCGCGGTCCGAATTCGGCCCATTGTAACTTTTGATATGAAGGAGAGGGTTGGTGTGTTTTTAATGCTGAGGTACAAAAAAAGTTCATTAAAATTAAATGTTTCGATTAAATGTTGTAAATGAATCTGATTTTTAAAAATGTAAATACTGTCACTTAATGGACAGACGACTATGCAGAAGACGTAAGCAAATAAAGGCAAAAACTAGTTTTTAAACTAAATTCTGTTATAAATGAGATTTTTCCTTAAGTTTTACGTAAGTTTATGTTAAAATGTTGAAAAACATCATGCAATATTAGTTAATGTAAAGCAATGTTTTATAGTTATGTTTAAATTTAATTAAATAAGTTTGGAAATTACCCATGGCAATTATATTTACTTCCAGCCTACTAGCCTCAATCAAGTTTGAATTTTGGCCTTTCATAAGAAAAAGTTTGGGCACCCCTGCTTTAGACCATTTCAATGTGGTCATGTCATTGGCCCATGAACATTTCCTGCTTGTTATCAAACTATTTTATAACTGTAACGAGGCAATTTAGTCATAAGTTAAAGTCAAAACATATAACATTATTTATTTACAGGAAATACGTTGGGACATTTGTTTTTGTTTACATCCCTCAAAATGGTCTTTAAGTAAGTCTGAATTTATTGTAAATATATCTGTAGATGAAGAAACAGAGGTTAAAAAAACATTTTAAAAACACCATGATATGGGTTAATCGTAGTAAATATTATACGGAGACCCTGCTGAAGTAGGAAATTGGTTGGTTGGCTGGTTTTAGCTGGTCGACCTGCCTGGTTTTAGAGGGGTTTTGGCCATTTAAGCTGGACATTCAGTAGCTGGTTTTGGTTGGGCTCTTAGCCTGGATAGGCTGGTCATGGTGGTTTTAGCTGGTCATCACCCAGCCTAACCAGTTAAGACCAGGCTGGTCGACCAGCTAACCAGCCTAGGCTATCTTAAGCTGTTTTTTTTTTCAGTAGGGAAGTTTTTTGTTTTAGCTTAATATCTTTAATGGACCAATCAAGTCTAACCGCAGCTGACCTGTTCTGATACTTAAACTTCCTAGACTACTATTGTTACTTCATTTTTTAGATTTCAAGAGGTAAATGTTTAATTCATTTTTACCTTCATAATGCAGCATTGTTATAAAATTAGTCAGTTAACTTATCAAAATATGAGTGAACTATCTATCTATCTTCTATCAACCATTACAAGTCATCAGACGACTACAGTTTTAAAACCAACTTTTTTTTAATACTAACAAAGAATCATCTCAACTACTTGTACATGGCTACCATGAATATTTGTACAAAAATGCAGTAAAAATATTATTGATTAATATATACAGATATGTCTCCTTAGTGTCGGCAGGCAGGACGCACATGTAGATGACAAGAACACCAATGGTCTTGCACGAGTATACACAATACAGAGATATTGTTTCCCAACATCAGTGACACTAACTCCAGATCAAAGACTTTTAAGAACAGAGATAATATCATGTCTTCAGGAGTACATGAAAAAAATCAAATCAAAGGAAATACAGTTACTGAATGATACTGCGTACAGTCGTGTGAAGAAGAAAGTGCAATACAGAACAATACAAAAAAAAAAATCTTAAATTACATGACATTAAGGAAGGCTGGCAGCGTGTGAGACTGCGATTTATAGATTTTTTTTCTCAAACGTTAGGAGAGAATATGGGAAGAGCTGACTGGCCAAGCAGGCGATAATGAATTGGAAGGGAAAGTCCAAGGCAGTGGATGGTTGGTATCGGTTTTGTTATATTGCTCTCGTCCCATTGGTTTGCACATTTATCATACTGATGTGTTCTGATCCTATACTTCTTGTCTTCAGAGACGCAGACCAGAGTGTGCACTGCTAACCTTTGCGAGCGCTAAATCAAATAAGGCTTGAGGCTGCGGTAGCATCTGTGTGTCACGAAGCAGACGGCGATGTCAGATAAGAGCAGTAAGTGTACCCTGTTTCCAGAACAGCGAAGGAGTCAGGATGGGGTGTGTTACTTCTACATTCTTTCAGGCTAATGGACACAGACTGGCAAACCAACAGCATTTATACCAAGGAACAATCCAGGTATTTTAAGAAACACAGAATATGAGGAGCTGTGACTCCCACCCTTAACAAGTCATAAACACTGAACAACAGACATTTAAGCCTGATAATCTCCTTACATTTACAACACACTCATACAATAATACTTCAACATAGGGTGCTAGTCAGGCATCACAGTAATGACACATCACAGTGCTGATGTACTGTCCGGAATGGGTGACATTTTATGGTCTTGGAAGAAATATTATAACTTGACTAACCGTATACCGTGACTAACTTTTTTTGTGGACTATTCGGCTTATATAGTGCTTTTGTGACTCAAACTTACAGATATGGTTTGTGCATGCCTTCATGTACTTTGGATATTTTCTTTTAAGTTAAATAATCCGTAAATTAGTTCAGGCACACCACAAAGCTATTGATTAAATAAAGTTTGACATCACTCTTTAATATTTGCTTTTGTAACTAATAGCACTTGGAAGATCTGTCTCAGTAGCATCATTTGCGTTTTGTTTGACATGATTCGAATTGATCTGGGGTGCGTTTCCGAAAACCATCGTTAGCCAACTAAGGTCTCAAGTTCCGTCGTTACAAACATAGTTTGTTGATTTGGCGTTTCCCAAATCCATCATTCCAATGAACATTCGCAAACTGTGTCGCAAACTTGTGTGTTTCCAACTACACCTCTAGAGCTGTAGTTGGAAGCATAGTTTCCAGGCTGTGTTCTACTCCCAGTTATCCCCCTATGGCCTATTCATTTAGAACGTGCTAACATTTAAACTTGGAATGATTTAAAAAAAGCATTAAAGTCATCTCTCATATGTGTAATTTGCTTTCAAGGTATTTTCACAGTTCTTTATATAGACAATTTCGCTCCCTTCGTAGTGCACTTTGAAAACATTTATGCCATTTGGAATCCAGCCGTAGCTTATGAGGAAAGACATCATAACATAACATACATAACATCTCCAAATCTTGTGAAAACAAAAATATACAGCATACGTTAATCGTTTTAATTTGTAGTATTTTTTTTTTTATGGAGAAAATGTATTGTATATGACATTGGCCTGTTGGTAGAACATTTCATGCAGTGGTTTGAATGTGTCAAATTATAAAAGAAGGAAAGCTGCATCCCTAATTACACACTATGCTCTTATCCTTTATATACTTATGCTCTTACACACTCAACAGCATAGTATATGTATGTAGTTTCGTCCCAAATGGAACACTAATGGGTTTTTTACTAAGCAGAAATTCAACCCGTTTCCCTGATGACATTTGACGGTTGCCAAATCAGTGAAATAAATGACCAAACTATCAAATAATACCTGTCATGAGTGTAACCGCATTCACCATCGGGAGGCGCTGTAATCACTTTAGTAGGAGAATTTTGCTTTCACAATCCAAAATAAATAAATTCAACACGAGTGCCCGAAAGCTTCACAGCTTCCGCTACGTGAGCAAAGCATTGGCCGTTGAGTGCGTGAAGTGTCCAACATTACACACTTTATTTTACTGGTTTAGCAGGTGCATCATCCGGGTATTTAAAGTGCACTTACTGTTTTTTAGAGTTTTCCGTTTGAACACACTACTTACACTATTTATACTATAAAATGGCGTAGAATAGTCTGTAAATTTGCGATTTGGGACGCACCTAAAATCCTTAATGATAATAATAACAATAATAATTATTTAATAATGTTATTATTATTAAGATTACAAAGAAATATTTTCTTATTTAATGGCCTACCGTAAATTACAACTATTAGTCTAACGACTTCTATGATTTATGTTTAAGAAAAGAAAATGGCAAATTCTCAGTACCATTTGTAAAGGAAGCATTGGCCCTATATGTGCTGTTTACATATATTTCAAATAATATGGAAAGCAGGTGCATGTTTTTACCAAAACTAATATTGGATTATTTTTTTAATGCATGTGCGTGTAAAACAATATATTTTGCACAAAAAAGTATGGGTTTTTTCTCTAAATAAGTTGTTACTCCACTTCGTTTGCAGAGGTCACCAAACTTGTTCCTGGAGGGCCGGTGTCCTGCAGGTTTTAGCTCCAACCCTAATCAAACACACCTGAACAAGCTAATCAAGGTCTTACTTGGTATACTTAAAACATCCAGGCAGGTGTGTTGAGGCAAGTTGGAGCTAAACCCTGAAGGGACACTGGCCCTCCAGGACCGAGATTGGTGACCCCAGAGCGCCATTATGGACATTTTATGGGTAACACTTTACAATAAGGTTTATTAGTTAATGCATTTACTAACATGAACTAATCATGAACAACACATGTACAGCATTAATTAATCCTAATTGAACATTTACTAATGCATTATTAACATCCAAGTCCATGCTTGTTAACATTAGTTAATGCACCATGAGCTAACATGAACTAACAATGAACAACTGTATTTTCATTAAGTAACGTTAACTAACATGAACAAATACAGAAGTAAATGTATTGTTCATTGTTTGTTCATGTTAGTAAATGCATTAATTAACATTAACTAATGAACCTTCTTGTAAAGTGTGACCGTTTTATGTTATAACAAACATGGTTCAATCAATGGATCTGCGACAAAGTAGCTACGGTTTTGGGAAACACTCGTCATTACATCGTTCTTTTCCCAAACGATGTGTTGTACTATGATAGCTCAGCCACGAGTTATGTCATTGTTTGGGAAACGCACCCCTGTGCGAATGAAGTCTCAAACTATGTATTTGGACACCTATGTTAGGTTCTAGAAAACAAGTAACCATGCATATTACAGATTTCATTAAATGACATCTGATTACCCGTAGATGTCATTTATTCTGCAATGGGATCCTATAAATAAAATCTATTTTCGGTTTCCAGGCATAAAGGACTAAGCACTACAACAACAACAAAAGATTCACATTGAGGAAGCAACAAATTAAAATGTGCATGGGTTTATGGTCAAAATCAGCTTCAGCTTGTCGTCCGGAAAAGCTTCATTGTTGTTGTTTTTTTTGTTTTTTGTAAGAACACTGTTGGCTGGACACAGACAATTACACACAGCAGGAAATTAAACTCAAAATGTACAGTTTGCTACCAGAACATGCACTGGCCTGAAGGGAACAATCCTTTTTTTTGCTACGCCCAAGTCTGTCGTTTGCCAAATTAGGGTTATCTGACAGAAATTTGTTAGGCAATTTATATTTCTAAGGTTGCCACATGCAGCGCTGGTGTTTAGCCACATTTAGTGGCTAGCATGCCCTTATGAAGAATGTACTGATATTAATGGCTTGCTGGGTACACATGGGACATAGCTGTGTGGTGCAAGAGCAAAGCCAATAGGCACCTCTGACACTACAATGTGCCACGGCCCAGGAGCCAATCAGAGATGTGTGTGAGAGCAGGGATGGGTACATGCTGCCTCTAAGTGGTGGTCAGATGGTATTACAACAGAGTGGGATTGGGAAAGAGGGACAGAGAGCGGCCATATTTAACATAGAGTATTGCCAACATAAAAACAAAACAAATTGTGTGACAGCACATTGAGGATTTGTATACATGTGTGTGTGCTGAGCGAGAACCACAGATCAGAGTCCCTCAGACCCTGGTTGTGTTTGACAAGGTTCTGAAGGGTGGCAGAGGTCCCGTGAAGGAGATGGTGGAGGGTACAAATCCCCCTGACTCTGTGTGGAGCTGTAGAGTTCAGTGTGAGACTGGCAGGTCTGGACGTCGGGTCTGGATTATTTTTGGTTTAGGGTTGTTCTTTGGTTCCTCCTCCTCATCCGTGTCGCTGTCACAGACGTGGACCACCACACTGGGCGTAGACTCTGTGCCCGCATGGAGCTCGAACTTCTCACCTGTATGTGTAGAAGACAAAAATCTGTCATCTTGAGAATATGTAAATACATTTCTAAACATAATAACAATAGTTTAAATAACTAACTTTTAATAACTGATTACTTTTATCTTTGCCATGATGACAGTAAATAATATTTTACTAGACATTTTTCAAGATAATAGTATTCAGTTTAAAGGGCATATTAAAGGCTTAAATAGATTGTTAATTACACAAGTTAGGGTAATAAGGCAAGTCATTGTATAATGATGGTTTGTTCTGTAGACCATCAAAAATATATAGCTTAAGGGGGCTAATAATATTAGCCTTAAAATGGCTTTTAAAAAATTTAAAACTGCTTTTATTCTAGCCGCAATAAAACAAATAAGACTTTTTTTCCAGAAGAAAAAATATTATCAGCCAACTGATTTATTTTATCTTTGCCATAATGACAGTAAATAATATTAATTCATTCATTTTCTTGTTGGCTTAGTCCCTTTATTAATCCTGACTAGATATTTTTCAAGACACTTCTATACAGCTTGAAGTGATATCTAAAGGCTTAACTACGTTAATTAATTTAACTAGGCAGGTTAGGGTAATTTATTGAATAACGGTGGTTTGTTCTGTAGACTTTTGAAAAAAAGCTAAATTAAAGGCACTATTAATATTGACTCTAAAATGGTTTTTAAAAAATTAAAAACTGCTTTTATTCTAGCCGAAATAAAACAAAATAAAACTTTCTATAGAAGAAAAAATATCTTGCATACTATGAAAAATTCCTTGCTCTGTTAAAAACCATTTAGGCAATATTTTAAAAAAGAAAAAAAATTCAAAGGGGGGCTAATAATTCACCTGTATGTGTATTTACAAAATATATCTATATCCTGATATTTTATATATATATATAAACTTAAGCAAGCTTGCTTAAGACTTAAGCCTAGTTTAATAACATTTTCTTGTTTCACTTTAATGATAGATTTAACATTGTGTTTTAGTTTTGGCTTTGAAATTATTTTTTAATAAACAATTCCGTAATATGATATCTACAGTATAAGGTGTTTTTAAATATTTAAGAGAGAATGCTGAACCAAGCTTAATCATTTTAACTACCTTAATATTAAGAAATATTCAAATTGTATATAATTTTTATATTTATATATATATATATAACATACACACACCCACACACACAATGTATATACCATTTATATTTCAGTTGTCTTATTATTCTTGAAAAAATATTTTTAAATGCTGGTTTGATGCAATAAACTGTTGACTTTTTTGCTACAAAATACTGTACTGTAAAATGTTTGTGTAAATTAAAAAAAACATTTTTCTAGATTATTTGACAATTTAATAAACAGTTTAAAAATTAGATTAGATTTAACTGTATTGAATTATGAATATGAATTATATATTATATTTCATCACCAAACTAAATTTCCTTTTATTGAAAAAAAAGAATACTGATATATTTATCAAATGTTGCCAAAAGAGTATTGTTATATATTTTTAAGCTATTGTAACAAGTGAGGAAAAGCAAAGTCTCACTGTATGTGTGTGTGTGTGTGTGTGTGTGTGTGTGTGTGTGTGTGTGTGTGTGTGTGTGTCTGCGCGCACGCGCACGTGTGAGTAAGGGTAAACCACTATGGTTTTGCAAATACAATGTTTCAGAGGTATAGTTCACCAAAATGTTCTCTCCATCTACTTTTCATTTTAAAACAAGTTTGAGTTTCTTTCTTCTGCTGAACAAAAAAGAAGGTATACTGAATAATGTTATAAAACTAGAAGCTTTTATATAAAATATTAAATATAATCTATATGATATATTAAATAGGTGGTTCATTCTGCTGTGGTGACACCCTGATAATCGGGGATTGAGCCAAAGGAAAACAAATGAATGAATATTAAATACTCTTCCTGGAGTATTATTTTGTTCTTAATATGGATGTGAATGGCTGCTGGTTTCCAATATTCTTCAAATATCTTGTTTTGTTTTGAACAGAAGAAATTCATAAAAGCTTGAAAACACTTGAGAATGAGTAAATGTAGAGAAAATAATTTTTTTTTTGTATAAACTGTTTTATTAACGTCGATTTTAGTGATGTATTTAAATACATTTACATTTCCAGAGATATGTGCATGTTTTATTTGCTCTAAAAGATTGCATTACCATTTGTTTACCATATCCAAATTGTCAGTATTGAACAGGAATCCTCCTTTCTTTAAACAAAAAGGAATGCAGCATTATATCATCATTCCCCCTGCAGTACTTACAATCAGACCTAGAGGTCTCTCTCTCTCTTTCTAGATCTCAACATTAGAAGAGTCAGGCTATTTTAGGTTGACCATAATTGTGGTTTTGCCAGAGAAAACAGGCAATGATCCATAGCATTACAAGCGTTAAACTTACACACAGAAACCACTGGGGAAAAATGTTCTATATGCAATGCTAAAAACCCCTTTAAGACAACCAGAAAAGAGAGCTCTGTTTCACCTAGAAATCCACAGAGCCCGTCAGTCAGAGCGGTCTGGAGGGGTTTCCTCATTGCAGGTAATTAAAACCTTCACAAGAGATAATCTGCTTTCCTTTATCTGTTGCACAAGGTCCGGATGAAGGTAAACATCTGAAATGTGCTGGACGAATGCGCTGCATGCCGTGTAGGATGAAACAAAGCAGGGAGCTGAATCAAAGTTTACCACTGTGCCTTTGGGCGGCGTGAGTGTGCAGTGTATTGTGGTCACCCAGAGGATCCAGCACACTCTAAAGGCCCTCTTATCTTCTTTTTTTTTCTCTTCCCTTTCTAGAAGTCTCTGGCTTCCACTGTCTGCCTGTAGTATCTTTTATTTCTTGTGTGTCCAAACTTTTGATCATCTCACTGTTTTGACCAAATTCCTCAAATCAGAAACGCATCTCATGTTTTATTCATACAATAAACATACATTCAAACTATTTGCTATACAGTGGGTCAAATATGTATTGAACTTCCATAGGTGCTGTTGAAAGTTACACCATGTTAGTGAAAAAACATATAATCCATACATACAAAGAAAGTAAAAATAGTTTAGAAATTAAGTTGTATGTAATGAAATGACAAAGGAAGAATGTATTGAACACATGAAGAAAGTGAGGTGTAAAAAGGCATGGAAAGCCCAGACAGCAGCTGAAATCTCTCAGTAGCTAGGAAGTAACCCTGCCTCTCATTAGTGTAAATGAATATAAGCTGCTTCAGTGCTGTGTGATTTGGGGAAAATATCTAATTGCAATCTTGACACGTGATTTTGATTTGCGATTTATTTTGTAGTAAAAATTCAGCTCGATTATCTGTATCGTAGCTTCTTACAGCTAAAATTTAGTGAGTGTTAATTAAAAAAGAAACTGAAAAGGTATTAACCTACTCCAACATTTATTCAAAATTGTTTTTAAATATACAATTTTTTCTCTAGAGCTAACCAAAAGAACAAATGAAATGACTTTACCTTTCTGTAAACAAGTCAAATGAGAGAGCTGATTATACAAGCAAAAAATTATTATTAAAAATACAGAACACTCAGCAAGCTAACATGGTTGATAAGAGTTTTTCTGCAGCTTTTATTGTCTAAAAACAATATAGATGCTACACAAAATATCATTCAAAGTACAGCTGTGGTACTGCTAAATGGCTTGGGACTGAAGTGTATATCTCCTATTGGGTATTTCTATGAGGTTTTTAAATCCCTCTTTGGTCAATGCATTAAAATATACTTAAAAAATTTCATATAGTGTAACAGACACAAACCACTCTGAAATTGCATTTTTGCTGTTGCTTGCTACTAGATTGAGTGTCACTAGTAATACTTTCAGTTGACTTTTTAGCAAGACGCTCCTCGTATGGCAGCAACAAATTACCTGTTTTTGTTTGGTGTCTGTGATTTTGAAACCAAAATATTGACATGTTACCAACATGCTGAACATTCTGAAGCAACAGATTCATCATCCCACTTGTCTGCGCTTTCCTGTTAGTTTTTTTATTGTGGGCATTCTGCATAGTTTGGTTGAACCATTCTGATTTGACAGAACAAAAGTGTGTGCATTTAATTTAATAATAAATCTGTCACACACAGATGGCAGTTACGCATTTGCTCTGGGTGGGGGAAATGAAATAAAACATATATATTCCGTATCGCAACCTCTTGCAATTTAGCTAATCACAACGTTTTAAATTGCGATTCGATTTTGATTAATTGCATAGCCTTACTTAAGTCCAACATCTACATAACCTGATGAGGGAGATAAAACTAGGGTGGACATTTCAACAAGACAAGGGCTGTCTCTCAATATGCGTTCTTCAGTGATTTTGTGTCTTCGTGTAATGTCATCATCAACCGCCAAAGTTCAGTTCCAGTACTCAAGAACGCACGATCAGAGGACATGTGAAAGCTCCCGGATGTGTTCTTGATATCGACAAAGCATCGATGTAGACTCGCTCTAGAAGTCCCAGAAGTCATTGCCACTGGATGTAGGAAGCGCAGCATTTTATATAGATTTGTTATTAAAGTTCAGAGATATAACTTATTTCTGGAGTTTCCCTAATGAAACAGTGAATATAAACATTACCATGACAATCTTAATAAAAGATATAAACCCATTAAGGGTGTTTATTTTCAAAATTTGTCATTAAAATCGGTTTTATTTATATTTTGCAATGCATATTTGTAAGGTTTTTATGCATAGTAAATATTTTGAAATGGGGGGGGGGGGGGGGGGGGGGGCAATAAATCATTGTATGAATGCTGTAATGTTTAAATAATTATTCATTAAAAACGTGTGAAGGTGATGTGACCATCAGGAAGAACGCAGCATCTCATTTCTCACAGGACACGTTCTCTGTTCTCGCGGTCTCCCGAATTCGATCTTCCGAGGTGACCGGGCAAGAACGCAAGTTCATTCTCTGCTTTCTTAGAATTAAGAAACAGCCAAGGAAACCCAATCACAGCCAAGCTGCTAGAATGGCCAGCCAATCACCTGACCTGAATCCA